TAGTGATTGCAAAATGAATGTGCAAATGTAAACACTTGTGTTTTAGCATGTACATACATACATGTAAAGTGCACCATGGGGCTGATTAAGTTAAAATAAAACAGCTCAGGTTCAACTGATGAAAGCAGACTGTTGACAAGAGTGATGGGGCCTTTCCTGGAAGTTTCTGTACTATTTCAATGGCCAAGTTGGCTTGATCATTGGCAGGCGTTCCTTGATTTCCAACAGATGTTCACTATTATATAAAAGTTGACAATAGCGTTCTTAATATCATTTCTCTGGGTGTTATATTTGATGGACAAGGTGGTCTATACAGTATAGCCATAGGTCTAGCTCGACATATCTGTCTATACAAAATTAAGGAGCTATATAGGTTCAACATTTTGGTAAACAATACTTAAAGTGCAATACTTAACCGCATGCCGCCCAGCCACTGTACATATACGGTGGCAGGGCGGCACTCACAGGCAAAACCACATTTTAAGACGTGTGTTTTGTAAACAAATAGGGGGCGTGCGCGAGGCGCGCCGCCGCCCTATTTGTCCTGCGGATCACCGCCGCAGATGTCAGTCGCCGGGTCACAGCCGCTCCTTAGCGGCTATGTCCCGGCGATCGGCGGCAAACAGTGACAGAGAGCACAGCTGCAGTAGCTGTGCTGTCTGTCACTTCCTTCTCAGCTCGAGGATGAGCTGATCGAGAAAGAACAGTTTCTCTTTCTTGATCAGTCTTGTCCCGCCCAGTACACACCCCGCCCCCTAGTAAAACACTCCCCTCACTCCTATAACCCTTCCCTGCAAAATAAAGTTAACCCCTTCCTCCCCATTGCCATTAGTACAGTGTCAGTTTTTTTTTTTTTTTTGCACTGATCACTGTATTAGTGTTTTTTTGGGGATGTCAGTGACCCCAAGTCAGTACCCCCCAATGTCAAAATGTCCGCCGCAGTTTTCTGCAGTCCCGCCATAAGTCGCTGGTCGCTGCCATAAGTCCCTGATCGCCGCCATAATTCGCTGATCGCCGCCATTATTAGTATAAAAAAAAACTAAAAATCCCAGTATCTTTCCCGCCATTTGTAAATGCTATAACTTTCACGTAAACCAATTAATTTACACGTATTGGGTTTTTTTTTTTAGCAAAGACATGTCGCAGAATGCATTTTGGCAGAAATTTATGACTAAATTTGATTTTTTGCATTTTTTTTTTTTACTGGACATGTTTTATAGCAAAAAGTCCAAAATAATTTTTTTTTTTCCTCAAAATTGTCAGCCTTTTTTTTTATAGCGCAAAAAATAAAAAACCGCACAGGCGATCAAATACCAAAGAAAGCTCAATTTGAGGGAAAAAAGGATGTAAATTTCATTTATGTACCATATTGCATGACCGCGCAATTGTCCATTAAACTTGCGCAGCGCTGTATAGCAAAAAAATGGCGTAAATTGCAGTATTTATACCATAGTTTGTAGACGCTATAACTTCCACACAAAGCAATCAATATACACTTATTGGGATTTTTTTTACCAAAAACATGTAGCAGAATACATTTTGGCCTAAATTTATAACCAACTTTGAGTTTACTATATATTTTTTATAGCTGAAAATAAAAAATATTGTTTTTCTTCAAAATTTTTGGCATTTTTTTGTTTATAGCGTGAAAAATAAAAAGCGCACAGGTGATCAAATTACACCGAAAGAAAGCTCTATTTGTGTGAAAAAAAGGACGTAAATTTCGTTTGGGTGCAGCATTGCATGACTGCGCAATTATCAGTTGAATTAGTGCAGCGCCGAGTAGCAAAAAGAGGCCTGGTCATTAAGGGGGGTAAATCTTCTGGAGCTCAAGTGGTTAAAGTTTAATAATCTAAACATGTTCCAAATCCAATTACTATGTGATGGACAAGTACCATAGAGTAAACAAAAGAGCTTCCTTTACTTTCCTATGATTGAGTCAAATCCTCCTTCGTGTGTCTTACATGCCCCCCTCCCAGGCACTGCAGCTCACAGTGGGAGGGTTTCAGCAGCAGAGGCAGTGCTGTCAATCCAGAAAGCAGTGGGCAAGGCTAGGTGTGGTCAAGTACTGATCGAGAAGCTACTGATAGCTGCAGCCCTGCAACATCTCCTTGTTTATTTTATTATTATATTTTTTATTAACATACATTATTTCACATTCTACAACAGTATTTTTCCATATCAAAAACTTTTACACTAAACAAACTAAGAAAAAAACACTACACACCACCCCCCTCCCTCCCCTCCCTGGTCACCTTAACCCTTAATTAACCTCATTCCTTCCTTTACCGCAGACTTTCCCTTCTCTTTCATCTTCCTTCCTCTTCCTTCTTCTTCCCCTTCTCCTTTTCCTTTCTCTTTCCTTCACATTTCTTTCAATTCTGCATAACTTTTAGTTGTTTTATAAATTTTCTACTCCTCCCACGTTTTTCTAAATTCTTTGGTTTTATCTTCTCCAATATGATAAAGTTCCTCCATCCTATACACATATTCCACTCTGCTAAACCAATCTTTTCATTTAGGGGTTTCCTTAACATCTGCAACATCTTCTCCTCTCTCACTATAGTGGAAGCAGGCACATGAGAGTGGCAACTCTGCTCTTAGTTCAGAAGCAGTGAAGCATCATTGCTACATCATCACAGTAAGTTGCCTTAGGTGGATCTCACTTGCAGAGGATAAAACAGGTTTTTTGGGACTTTGCATGTGAACTAAGAGAAAACTATAGATACAGGTGTACTTATATTTGAGCATTGGCTGGCATTTTAAAAAAGCCAATATGTGTACACAACCCACTTTGTATACCAAAATGTCTGCCTCAGCAGGGAAACTTGCATGACTTTGCACCATATTGGTAAGCACAAAATGCACAAGGTACAAGTAGCCTCCCTGGTGGTATTCCCGAGTGTAGCTCGGGGTAAAGTTTCAGTACCACAAGCGGTAACCCCGAGCTACACTCGGGCTTACCATGCGACACTGCTCCGGGATCTGTTCTTCGCTTACCTTGTCCTTTGCTCCCGCGATGTCCCTCCTGCAGTGTCCCCGGCAATGTCCTCCAGCCGATGCCGGCATCTGTCTTCTGGGTTCCGTCCCCTGCGACATCGGGGCGTACGGGGGACAGAACGGTGGGAAATTTGAAAATGACAAAAAGTGACATTCACTAAATTCACTAAAATCACATAGTATAACATTCCTGTATCAAACCATTTCACATACATTTTGTCCCGAGTGCTTTGTCCGGCGCCCTGCCTGCATTTTTACTGTTCTTTCTGCCTGAAAACTGAGAAACGTCCATGGCGTCCAAAAAGCGTCCCTTTAGGTCAAAAGCGGTTTTAGACCAGCTAGAGAACAGCGATAGTAAATCAGAACTACTTGCAGAATTGAGTGATAATGATTCGTGGGGGAAATTCATCATCAGACACTGAAAACAATTTTGCGACTTTGCTCAGTGATGCGCGAACTTGGCGCTATATTTCAAATTTCAGTGTTTTTTGGTTTGATTATATTATTGAATTAAATTTATTATTATATTATTGTTTTTTATGATTATTTATTAAATTATTATAATTTATGATTTCATGTTTCAAATTTTAACATACCCGGATGTTTACTAGACTCTTGTTCGGACAGATTTCAGTGAGTTATTCCTAAGAATTACAGACCTGCAATAAAAAAACTACATATTTCCATGCAAAAAAATGTACCGCTTTGAGCACAGAAATATGGACATAATCAGACCGCTAGGGAGGTTAAACATAAAGAGATTAAACATAAAAATGCACTAGCATTTTTACAAGACAATTCTAAATTATTGAAAAATCTCTATTTTTCATGATTTTTTATTTATGGTCTCCTTCTATAAAAGCCAACCCACCCACATACACACATAACACATGAATACTGTAGGTAGAACTCAAGCCAACAGTTTTTTTTCACATCTTGGATACAGTAGGGAAGAGTCAGAAGCTCTGTCAAGTATCAATTGCTGTCTGTGTCTTTGTTGGAAAGGTTTCTTCTCACTTCTTGTCCTAGTGTCCACTATCTCCAAAACTTTGAAAACACAAAGAGCAACAAAAACCTTATAGTGGATGACACCAGCAATGTAAAGCAGGGTACACATTAGAAGATTTTTTGTTCAACCCTGGGAGCGAGATAGATGTTCTAATACAAGTGATGTTAGACCAAAATCAAGAACACGGGGACATGGCCTTAGACTAACTGGAGAAAAGTTCAAAACTGATCTCAGAGTATGATTTTACTGAAAGTGGATGCTTGGAATAAACTTCCAGCAGAGGTAGTGAGCCAGTCAACAGTGAATAGCTTCAAACATGCTTGTGACAAGCATAGATCTATACTCAGACAAAAAAAAGCAACAAAAAAAACAAAAAAAAATGGACAGACTCGATGGACCACTCTGTCTTTTTCTGCCGTCGACGCTCTAATACAAGCAATGTTAGACCAAAATCAAGAACACGGGGACATGACCTTAACCTCCCCAGCAGTCTGATTATGTCAATATTTCTGTGCTCAAAGTGATACATTTTTTTTTTTTAATTATAGGCTGTAATTTTTAGGATTAACTCACTGAAATCTGTCCGAATAAGAGTCTAGTAATCATCCCGGGTATGATAAAATTTGAAACACGAAATCATAAATTATGATTTAATAAATAATCATAAAAACAATAATTTAATAATAATAAATTTAATTCAATAATGTAATCAAACCAGAAACACTGACATTTGAAATTAGAGCGCCAAGTTCGCACATCACTGATTGTAGGCTCAAAATCGTTTTCAGTGTCTGATGAGGAATTTCCCCCACGAATCATTATCACTCAATTCTGCAAGTGGTTCTGATTTACTATCGCTGTTCTCTAGCTGGTCTAAAACCACTTTTGACCTAAAGGGACGCTTTTTGGACGCCATGGACGTTTTTCAGTTTCCAGGCAGAAAGAACAGTAAAAATGCAGGCAGGGCGCAGGACAAAGCACTCGGGACAAAATGTATGTGAAATGGTTTGATACAGTAATGGAATACTATGTGATTTTAGTGTATTTAGTGAATGTCACTTTTTAACATTTTTAAATTTCCCGCCAGTTCTGTCCCCTGTATGTCCCGTACGCCCCAATCCTCGTAGGGATCGGAACCCAGAAGACGGATGCTGGCATTGGCCGGAGGAGATGGCCGGGGATGATGCAGGGGGGACATCGCGGGAGCGCAGGACAAGGTAATTGAAGAAGAGATCCCGGAGCAATGCTGCAGTGTATTCCCGAGTGTAGCTCGGGGTTACCGCTTTTGGTACTGAAAGTTTACCCCGAGCTACACTCGGGAATATCACCAGGGGGGTTAAACTAACTGGAGGAAAGTTCAAAACTAATCTCAGAGAGTATAATTTTACTGAAAGTGGATGCTAGGAATAAACTTTCAGCAGAAGTAGTGAGCCAGTCAACAATGAATAGCTTCAAACATTCTTGGGACAAGCGTGGATCTATACTCAGGCAAAAAAAGCTAACAAAAAAAAAAAAGCAAAACAAAAAAAAAGCAAAACAAAAAAAAATGGACGAACTCAATGGACCACTCGGTCTTTTCTGCCATCACTTTTCTATGTTTCTATGTTAGTGTGGCGATCTCTCCCACTGTGCTATTGTATTCTGAAAGGGGGACGCCCACACACCAGAATACACTGATTGGATGCAATCAGATGCTGGTTTGCCAGAAGCAGAACAGACAGCTGTACACGGGATGATTTTTGACCTGTGTATACAAGTTTTAACAATAGCCATAGCAGCTCAGGTGGCTGCTATGGGGTCTGGGGAGGGAATGGGCCCCATTAGGGATGCTGTTATGGAAAACTGAGCATTTTCCAGTATAGATGGTCTTTAGTCTATAAATTAGTAATTTATTTCATAATACAAAAGATTGGGATTAATATTATTGCTACAACTATAACTATCATGTTTAACCAAAGCACAGGTCCCTATTGTGTACCATCTATGGGGATAACTCTGCCGCTATGTCCGTGATTTAGGCAAACTTTATTTGTCAAAGTTGACACAGCCAGCTTCTACAGAGAAAGTCAGTTGGGGGGTGGGGGGCATCAAAATGTTCCTATGGTGCCCCATGATTCATAGTTACATCCCTGGTTCCTTGTTAAAACTAAAAAAAAATATCCGCAGTTCAAAGATTTCTCAATGTTTCCTGTCCCAGTCCTGTTTCTGGGACAAGCAAGAGGGGAAACCTCCACAGCCAATAAATAATAAACGCTAAGATAAAGAGTACCATAAAATAAGAGATATTTTATGGTACAGCCAGTCAATTCTGAAAACCTGGGAGTTACATTTCCTGCGACAAATGTTTAATGTCTAGTTCTTCCCGGAAAATTCAGCACTACTGGCATCTATACTGTTTTGAAGCCTGGCCTATTATTTCTGCAGAGTTGTTTGAATCTGTTACATCTCTTGAAAATATGTTTTTGAAAGGCCATAAGGCAGTTCTGTTGAAGTGCTGAAAATGGAAAAAAAATTCCCATACACAATTTTGCAAGATAGCAATAGGGGCCTAATTAAAAACTGCTTGCTCAATCAAAATAAAGGCAGAGGAGTCAGTCACATAACACTTACAAACTTGGAATGGTTGGTTTTGCCTTCAGTGAGATCTCACCAAAGTAGGAACTCTCATTTTGTTTACTGAGCTACTGAAAAAATCTACTTTTTTATTTAGAGTTTTATGTGTATTTGGGGTAGTTTAGTTTGTTTTAATGTGTGTGTGCGTGTGTGTATGTTTTTGTGTATTTTATAATTAATTGTATACTGTAATTTTTTTTGTTTTACTTTTTTTATTTCGTAATTTTTTTTCCTTTTGTGTTAAATTGGAAAAACAATTGGCCTAATGAGGAACTGGTTTTTGGCATAAGAAAAAGTCCAGGATAGTTGAAAGAAGTTTCTGTTACCCCCAGATATAATTTAAAGTGCACTACACACTTTAAAACCACCAAAAGCCACCATACTTTGCCTTTACCATTGACTTAAATGCATTTAGCCCATATCTCACAATTTTGATTGAAGTTTTGGGGGGAAACGAAAACTCTCAATTTCACTTGCTTCTGTTACAAAATGAAGTTGACATATTATTATTATTATTATACAGGATTTATATAGCACCAACAGTTTGCTCAGCACTTTACAATATAACTGGACACAATACAGCAACAATACAGTTCAATACAAGAGGGATAGGAGGGCCCTGCTCCTATGTCTTCACAATGCTATCAAGATAGTTCTAAAAGTGCAAATCCTACTTTAATCTTCAAAAGTGCCAACATTGGAATATCAATAAGACAAAACTAAGAGAGAAGCTTTCCATAACTTTTGAGACAGATATAATAATTCTTACCAGGTGACCCAAGGAGCTAGACAATGAAATAACTGGGATGCAACAAATTAAATGAGTTGATGAATACCCTAAATTGAATAACAAGGTCCCCTTAATGTTCAGTCCCTTGCAACTTGAGTCCTGTATTGTTTAAAGTTCCTGATATGGTAGTATCTGCTGTCTTCTGCTAGCAATGGTGGGGCCCATAAGCATTAGTGAATATTGGTAATTCAATGAAGTTAAACAGAAATGTTGTGGCACTGCTCAAAGAAGAGATCTCCTGATACTAAGCTATAAAGATGTCTGCATGCAGTGTCTGTAGAGTGATGACAGAAAGAGGTTGGGCATTCACCCGTTCACAAATTCTATGAATAACATGGTGTCTTAGGAACAAGAGTTCTTGCTCAGGCTCTTGGCTGTTTGCAGGGAAGTACAGAGTTGCCACCTATCTGCCTGTCAGCACGGCAAGCAGAGATGTCTGTGTGAAGACCTGACAGTGACAGTCCCAATGCAGAGAAGCTGATGTGATCCTGGTGTGGCAATCGGTATTACTGCTGTGCTGAACTGATGTGCAGAGTCCCACAGCAGTAGGCCAGCAATCTGTCTCTGGAGAAGAACGGCAGCCCCCCTGCGTTCAGTCCTGAATCCCATGCCAAGAGAGCGAGCCAGTCCCTTGCTGTAGAATATATCTGCTTTCCCAGCATCCTTCTTGTTCCCCAGCTCTCTGGTGGTTGTAGATCAATCAGCACTCAGGAATACAGGATGTATTGGCTATAGGACGACAGGCCCCAAGATCCTCTGCTGTCAGAAGAACTGAATCCACTCTGCTAACAATAAGGGATGTAGCAGTCACAGTAATGGGCACTGAGGGGGAAGGATTAACCATAGTCTCATCTGTAAATGTTCCTGAATGGCACAATGATATAACCAGCACCTGGCTACACTAGTATTCATTAACCAACACAATCTGCTGTGAATGTGCAATGCAATGTACACTGGAGCCCTGTGCAGACTTGTCCAATATGCTGCAACACCACTGTGCATGAAGACTCTGGTGGTGAAAAATGTTCTAGAGTAGAATGGCACTGGAAGCTGTGGATTGGCAGGGGGGGAGCTGTCGTTGGAAAACACACTATGGTAATTATTCCTGAAACTTGCCCCTTTGGTCCACTTTAAAAAGTACCAGCTTTCTCTTTTATCTCATGACCAGCAAACAGTAAAAAATGGGAAAAGAGACTGATTACAAGCACACCACTTCCCAAAAACTCTGTATTGGTAAATAGAAATAAAGGGAATGCAAAACCAATTTCATATAAGATTTAACATAGTAATGTAATTTTAATATTTTTTTGAATCAGAAGTTTTCATTAAAATAAAAACTGCTGATTCTGGCATGAAGGTCTTTCATAGAGTGACAACGTTCTACTCCTATTTCCCAATTGTGCTTCTGTATTTATTGGTATGCTGCCCATGAAGCAAAGTGAAGTTCCTGCCTCAGGGAGGCAGCACTGAGGCCAGAGTTCACATACCACAGTTGGGGGTGGCACCAAGGCTGGAGTTTATATACCGCACATTCCGTCCTTACTGCAATTGTGTAACATTACACTGGGCAAGGCAGCTGGTTTCTAGGATGTTGACATCTGAGCTACACAGTCTTTGGTCAATGACCCTTTACAGTCCTGCTACTTGCATCTTAGCAACCAATGATGCAGTGTGACCCAACAGCTAGCATCCTAGCAACCAATGATGCAGTGTGACCCAACAGCTAGCATCCTAGCAACCAATGATGCAGTGTGACTCAACAGCTAGCATCCTAGCAACCAATGATACAGTGTGACCCAACAGCTAGCATCCTAGCAACCAATGATGCAGTGTGACCCAACAGCTAGCATCCTAGCAACCAATGATGCAGTGTGACCCAACAGCTAGCATCCTAGCAACCAATGATGCAGTCTGACTCAACAGCTAGCATCCTAGCAACCAATGATGCAGTCTGACCCAACAGCTAGCATCCTAGCAACACATTATGCAGTATGACCTAACAGCTAGCATCCTAGCAACCAATTATGCAGTATGACCTAACAGCTAGCTAGTTTCCTAGCAACCAATGACACACAGCCGCTCACTGTCATTGGTTGCTAGGATACTGGCAGCTGGGCCACACTGCATCATTGGTTGCTGTGCCAGTATTCTAGTAACCAAAGAGAAGTAGTAAAGACAAGGGGAGCTGCAAAAACAGCTTATATATTGTACCAGACTTTGGAGTTGATTTAGTTGAATTGGAGAGTGCAAAAAATCTGGTGCAGCTCTGCATAGAAACCAAACAGCTTCCAGTATTTTTTGTCAAAGCCTAATTGAACAAGCGGAAATTAGAAGCTGGATGGCTGCCATGCACAGCTGCACCGGATTTTGCACTCTCCAGATTTAGTAAATCAACCTCATTCTGTTCTTACCGCAGATTTGTAATATTACACAGGACAGCGTTACTGAGCTGGTTGCTATTTTTGATGGCTGAGCCACACATTGGTCAATGACACTGTACGATCCAACTACCTGCGTCTTAGCAACCAATGATGCAGTGTGGCCCAGCTGTCAGTGTCCTAGCAACCAATGACACACAGCCATACACTGTCATTGGTTGCTAGGGTGCTGGTGGCCAGGCTACAGCATCATTGAATTGCTGTGCCAGCATCCTAGCAACCAAAGGGGGGTCAGTAAAGACAAGGGGAGCTACAAAAACAGAAAAGTCAAGCAGCAATTAACCTAGGCATGATCCTGCCTGTATCATCACCCATCATCATCATCAATGGAGACTACAAGTATCCTTTTTAAAACAGAATGCAGGCATTGTCCAATGTTGTCACCATTAGGAAACCCATGATATTGTCAGGGCAGCAGGTAGGCAAGAAGTGGCTGCATAGAGACTGCAGGAGATCAGCAGTACTGATTTATATCAAAGGAAAGTTTGTTATAAACCAGGAATAT